ATGGACCAGATCACGCCAGGCTTTCCAGTCTTCCGCCGTCCTCTGAAGTTTGCTCTATTTCATGTTCGTTGCATCGATGACACTGTTTAACCATCTCATCCTTTGCCGTCCCTGTCTTCTTTGACCTTCAATCTTTCCCAGCATCAGGGTCTTCCTCCAGTGAGTGCTCCCTTCTCATTTGGTGGCCAAAGTATTTGAGCTTCAGTTTCATTATCTGGCCTTCCAGGGAACAGTCCGTGTTGATTTCTTTTAGGATGGACTGATTTGATCTTTTTGCAGTCCAAGGGACTCTCAAGAGTCTTCTCCAGCACCATAGTTCAAAAGAATCTTTTCTTCGGCGCTCGGCCTTCCTTATAGTCCAACTCTCGCAGCCATACATGACTACTGGGAATACCATTGCTTTGACCATGCGGACTTTTGTTGGCAGGGTGATGTCTCTACTTTTTATCATGCTGTTTAGGTTAAATAGTAGGGGTATTTAAAATTATATTTGTCATAGCGATCACTTGTTTGAAGTAATCAGTCGGGAAACATGTCTTCTTTTTTGCTTTTCAGAATATGGTAACCCCAACACAGAACTAATCACAGCACTGCTGCGATTGCTGGCATGCCATGTCCCATTACTCTGTAGCCTGGCTGCAATCAACAGAATTTTGATATTGATTTCACAGTCCATTCTCCAAGTGCCTTCAGACATCATATTTATCTGAGCATTAGGGAATGTGATACAGTCCTTCTAGCACAATGCTGCAGATAACATCCAATTAGTTTTTATCATCCTTTTTTTCTGGTAAAGCAATGTAAAGATATGCTTGCTAATCTGTAGTCATCATACAACACAAAGAAAATAATATTTTTTTACCATATACTCTCATCCTATATGGAGAACTGGTACTGAAAGAATTGGGGGGGGGCACCATATTTTTGCAGGCTGAAGCAGCTGAAAGCATCCTTTTTGCATTAATGAGAGAATGGGCCATTTTTACATTGCTTTACTTTTGATATATTGTCAGTGTGACCATATCATATGAATAAACATCTGGGAGTTGTTTGGATGGGGAACAGATGAGATCATGCTGGCCTGATGAATTATGTAGTCATTTAAATCTGTTACACAATTCTAAACACATTTTTGGTATGAATTAACAAAAGGAAATTACTTGGAAAAACACTTCCATTAACTTCTAATATTTAATCAAAATATTAGTTCTGGATCAAATTTAAGAACAGGGGAGGGTAGTATAAATCTGAAATCCATCTTCTTTAAAGTATTTCATATATTCTCCAAATCACATTTACAAATTTCCCAATATGCAAATCTAGGAATTAATTCCCAGTTGGTTTACATTACTCAGATTAAGCAATATGTGCACAAAATATGACATTTCAAAAATAATGGATAAAAAAGAGCCCATCTGCTTGAACGGACATGGTCTGATACTGGTCCAAAGCAACAGTAGCATAATATTGTTCCACCAAGCAACACAATAATTAAAACAATGTAATAACACACAAATGCCAACTCTGCGTTCCTTACCATTTAAGTGAAAACATTTCTCAAAATTAATAATTTAAGTAATATGATTTTAAAATTAAAATGTGCAATAAAGGCTAAGAGAATTCCCAGAGGAACTTATATTCAGCTTCCAAGATAGTTATTTTATGTGCCTAGCTGTAATACTCCACACATACAGAAGTAAGATAACTGGAAAGAGCCTGTCCACTGATAACTTTCAGAGGCTGACCAGAACTGCTTCTTCATCATCTGAGTGACCATATTCCAAAGAGCTGGGGGGGGGGATGTGGGAATAGCACTGATATCATCAGCTACATATCACCTGTAGGCCCAATCCTATGCACATTTACTCAGAAGTAAGACCTGGAAGCTTCATAAAAATGTGCTAAAATTTCTGATTACAAAATTTTATGTCAAGGAATACCACTTAAAGTGGGATCCTCCATCTGTCATCTTTACCACCTGATTCTGTGGCATGTTTAGATCACATCAAAGTCTCACTAAGTCAAAATGGATTTACTGTCAAATAAATGTACTTGAACTGTTGTTGTACAGTAGCTGCAATGAAAAATTGTGCCCTTTGCTAATAAGCATGGGGAGATGTTTGGAAATGCAGCTTTGATTCCTCAAACTGCAGAGCATTCTTCTGTACCTTGGATATTTAAAAGTTTCCTTCTAGATCCTTTAACATAGAATTCAAAGGCATTTGCAATTTTAGAACCATATGCTGGGAGTAGGTTGGTGCCAAATATAAGCACAAAGTAATATTTTGTAAAACTGAAGCCCACTTGATGCAAATTATATCTTTCATTAGCAAAAATAGCTTTACAAACAGAGCCGAATTCTCAGATTCTTGGCATATCTGTGCATTTCTGGAAAAAATAAAAATCAGATACATGCATAAGCCCTCCTTATGTTACATTTTTAGACAAGGGCCTAACTCATACCAGCACTCTCATGACCAAAACGTATAATGTGGAGGTAGTCTAAATATCCTTACTGATAAATAAAAATACATTGATAGGGTAAATTCAAAGTGCAAGGACTCTGGAATATGAATATCCCCAGTTCAGAGATCCCGACCCATTAATAGCTAGTCTCAAGTACCTCTGCATTTGGATTCAGTTCATGAAGACTATTCCCACCTGTCTTTTCTTCTTGTCAGTCCCTCTTCTCAAGCAAAAGCATTAACTCTTCAGAGGTGGGTAACTGGTGACAGGGAATGGTTGTCTGAGACAGAAGAAACTTTACTAGCTTCCCCTTAACTGGTGATAATGCTTAGGAGTGTCGCTTCCTGTAGAGCATGAGATCTGTCATTTCCACTATTTTCCTGGGTTTTTACCCACGAATTCTTCTGGAATGATTAAAAAAAAATGAACACATTCTGAAGCTGGGAAGGAACAGAACTGTACACACACATTGTTTTCCGCAGCCATTACATTAATTAGCTCTGTTCTCAACCACAGAGGGGGAAAAAACCCAGGTGTCTTCAAGAGTTCTGCCATCCATTCTTCACGTATTCTGCTGTGTTCCTTGGATGTCCATGCTTGGTGAAGGCTGTTCTTAATGTGTCTAGGTTGGAGATATTTTTCTCAGTGAAACCTCTGTGCTATCTTTGTTTTTTTTTTTTTTTTTTTCCAAAAGGGGGGGGGGGGGGGGGGATAAGAAGTATGCCTCTTGGTTTCTGGAGCTGCAGAGGCTGATGTTCTGACGAATAGAGAACACTGCTGGAGACTCTTATTTACAGTAGGGCACCATAGATGTCCAGAGATGCAATCAAATGGTTCAAAATGAGGACCTGGGTTGTAAACGAAGTCCTACTGACATGTGATATATTATACTGTATTTTCTCAAGTACTTTCCCCCCAGAAAACTGAATATGTGAGAAGAGTGTGTGTGTGTGTGTGTGTGTATGTATAGCCATGTATTACAGCTATATTTGCTTCATGTAATCTAGAGTTTTCTAGATGCTTATTTAATTTTAGATTATTGCTGACTACTGGCATTCATAGATACTAAGAAGGCTCCACTAATCTTTCCTTGAAAATGGATGAAGAAGAGATTCCTTGAACTCAGAATCCACCTGAAAACTACTCCAATTGTTTTCTTAAGAGTTCTGATACAGCAGTACTTACCAACTCAACTGATGCTATTCGTTAGGAACTGTAGAAGTGGGCAAAATTTGCACCATGTTGCGTTCAACTCATTCTGGGTCATAATTCTGAACAACAAACTTTCACCAGGACAGAAGAGTATTCTGCAGAATCCAGCATGTCTGATTCAAATGCATACTTAACTGAAACAAGAACAGGGGTACAAGTGCAATGGTAGAAGAATTCTCTTTCCTTCCCAAGGTACAAAGGGAAGGTACATATGCTAGTGTAATTCTATCCTTGTAAAGGTTATGGTAAAGTCCCATTAGTGTTACTGATGACTGCAAACTGCTTAGAGTGAGGTAATGGGGGCAAAGGAGCATGTTCTGTCCGGCTGCATGAAAACTGAAGGTATCAATTTGACCATGTGATAATGTGTATTTTTTACTCCCACTACTCTACTATATCTGAAATAGTAATTCTAAAGTATTGCTAAGTCTGCTGACCACAAAAGAACAAGGAGGATATGGGTAGAGGAACAAACAATCTGCAGTATGTCTCAAAAGATTAGAAGTGTATCTGCTTTGCTGGCTGAGATGTAGAAGTTAGCCTTGGGATATGTAACCAAGTGCAGTTTGCACGTGTAAAAAGTTGTTTGTGTAGGGGTGTAAAAGTTATACTCTGGGCTCCATTAAAATCGGAGCAGAATGGGCGAAGCTGATTTGCCTTTCTGTATCCCCTTATTCCTGAAGAGGGGAAGAAAGACTGAATTTATACCCCACCCTTCACTACCTTTAGGAGTCTTAAAGCAGCTTACAAACTCCTTTCCCTTCCCCTCCCAACAACAGACACCCTGTGAGGTAGGTGGGGCTGAGAGAGCTCTGACAGAAACTGCTCTTTCAAGAACAGCTCTGACAGAACTACAGCTTGCCAAAGATCATCCAGCAGCTGCAAGTGGAGGAGTGGGGAATCAAACCTGGTTCTCCCAGATTAAGAGTCCACACACACAACCACTACACCAAACTGGAATAGTCTTTTCTATTCAACTGAGTCCCTCGCCTGTGTGTGTGTTAATTGGAACGCAGATTAGAGTCCACACACTTAACCACTACACCAAACTGGAATAAAGTCTTTTCTATTCAACTGAGTCCCTCGCCTGTGTGTGTGTGTGTTAATTGGAACGACACATGCCAGGTTAATGGCCCATTTTGGCAACAGTATCAGATTCAAAAGATACCTTGCCTAACAACTGAGAAGACTTCAAAAGCATAAAGCAGAAATGACTTTTTAAAATAATTAATAGGAGCAATAATGATAAAACAGTATCTAGTTTATTATGTATAGAAAGAGATTTCCAGAATTTACAAACACCCACATATTTCATTCCAGGGATATTTTAATTTGAAAAGTTCACCCACGTTTTGTTTGCTTTACTTTCCTTCTTCTTACAATATATACAATGGAAGACTTTGATTTATTTTTCTGATGTTTTGTAAGTTCCTGTGCAACCAACAGTTTCGAATTCACACTTGTAAGTATCATGCACAGTAAAAAATTGACTTTTCATGAATACAGCCTAATGTTTTACAGGTAGAGTAAAAAATATGATTCTTTTTCTTTTTGAAAGAACTCAGCTCAACCTCAGGGTTATTTTACAAATGATGACATCAGTAAATATGACTGTACAATCCAGATCCATGGGCCACTGATTCATATTATATTATATTCTGAATTATAATCTTTAAAAGAACAGTACTCTACTCTATTGTTAATCATCTTGATTTAAGCAGTTTCCCCCACCCCAGCCCCACTCTGTTTACAACAGAATATAGTATACCTCAGTTCCACATCAAAAAAAGATGTGCTGTAGGAAAAAGTTACATTTTTAATTAAAAAAGTACATGTATAAATCAAAAAAACCCTATGTTAAATATTTAATACTCTTCAACCAACATTAACAGTTTGGATGTAATAATTTACACTGATGATTTGTCATACAGGTTTTTCAGCAGCAAATTAAATTTCATGTCTTAATGTCAATGTGCTAGTAATATACCCATTCTCACCATATTACAGTGGTGGGCACATGAGTTCATTGTAGCCAGCTAAGTCTTTATGGTAGAGGAGGAAATAATTGCAGGCTTGTTGTCCAGGTGTCACAGTGCTTTTGCTTGGCACACACAAGAAAAATGTGCAGTTCAGTCAACTAAGTCCTGAGGTTTGTGTAAAGTAAACAAATTGAACTGGATGCATCATACCCATCTACTGAGGAAGAAGATGCGAGGTCCTAGTTGTGATACACAAAACAGAGTCTGGATACCCATGAGTTCAAAGAAGGATTTTTCTGAGGTCATAGAGGTCGTTGTTCTGAGAACAGAAAAAGAAAGAAAATGATATATTTAAAACAAAAAGGATTATAATTTCTGTGTTTTCTTAAACAAACTAGAGAAATAGAGTAAGGTAGCACTTTCTACTGAAAACCAAACAAACAAAATACAAATTGCTGAAATATGTTCCGCAGCACCACAAATAACACTACTTGCTACAATAATCACAAAACCTTTTTGCAACCGACTGGAACACACAACTGCACCAAAGCAGCTGAGGATGACTTCTGTTATTGGGCGGGGGATATGGGCTGGGGGTTTTTCCCCCCTCAGCCAGAAAGAAACCACCTTTAGCAGCTTTTCTGTCCAAGGCCTCCTGTTATTCCTCAAGAAAAACAAGCACTCTGCAGGAGGTGCAAAGGATTCAACCACCTCTCCCTTTTCTTGGTCTTCCACTCCATCAGAACTGCAGCCACTCACTACCCCTTTATCTTGTAAAAGAGGCCCTCCTAGGGGAAATCAAAATGCTGTTCTGTCCTAATTGGCTCTTCTAAACTGTAGAACAAAGTTTGAGTTCAGTGGCACCTTTAAGACCAACAAAGTTTTATTCAAAGTATAAGCTTTTGTGTGTAAGCACACTTCATCAGACACAATGAAATGAAATCTTCTCAAGCCCCACTTACAGGAAAAATAGGGTGGGGGGGACCCATTAGGAAGGGCCAGTCACAACCAAGATGCATATGTAGGGCTGAAATTGGATCAGGTGGCCAGTAAGATCAATGCATGGCAGCAAATTAGCACATAAATGCAAGGGTTAACAAAGAGATGTGAGAACGAAGGTGGAGTCCATCGGCACCCCCAAGACAAAACCGAGTTCAACCCTGGGTACATGCCAGAACATAAACTCAGCTTGTGCACATTTCTTCACATACATTGAAACAGATTTCCTCAAATATTACATGCAGGTGTGGGGGGGGGGGGGGGTTATTTGCCAGGAAGAGCTAATTAGAGTCAAGATGCATAAGTAACAGAGCAATAAATACAGATAAGACTGGAACAACACATTTCGTAGGACATGTAAATAGCAGCACATTGGCATACAGATAATAAGGGAGTTAACAACAGATGTGAGAACCAACTTGGCCTGACTAAGACCAACAAAGTTTAATTTCTGGGTATAAGTAAGAACTGAGTGACTTAGCATGTGTAGTGAGATAAGAAGTCGATATCTCTGTTAAGCCCTGGGGGTCCCGTTGTCCTGAGTTTTGTAATAACTTGGAATTCAGCAATCTCCCATCCCACTATTTTTGAAATTCCTTTGCAATAAAACAGCCCCCACTAGAACCTCCCCCCTGGGAGGCTGAAATGCTCTCTTACAGGTTTCTCAGTTTTGTGATAAGAATATAAGAGAAGCCAATGTTGGATCAGGCCAATGGCCCATCTAGTCCAATACTCTGTCACACAGTGGCCAAAAATACCAGGTGCCATCAGGAGGTCCAGCAGTAGGGCCAGGACACTAGAAGCCCTCCCACTGTTGCCCCCCCCCCCAAGCACCAAGAATACAGTGCATCACTTGCCCAAGCCTGAAAGTTCCTATTTACCTTGTGGCTAATAGCCACTAATGGACTTCTGCTCCATATGCTTATCTAATTCCCTCTTGAAGCTGCCCATGCTTGTAGCCACCACCACCTCCTGTGGCAGTGAATTCCATGTGTTAATCACACTTTGGGTGAAGAAGTACTTCCTTTTATCTGTTCAAACTGACTGCTCAGCAATTTCATTGAGTGCCCATGAGTTCTTGTATTGTGAGAAAGGATTCTAAATATCAGATTGGTGTCCATTTATCCTTTGGCATAGGGTTTGACCTGTTTGTCCTATGTAGAGAACTGAAGGGCATTGTTGGCATTCAATGACATATACAATGTTAGAAGATGAGCAGGTGAATAAGCATGAGATGCAGTGGCCGATGCTGTTAGGTCCAGTGATCGTGTTGTCTGGGTGTATGCGCCAGCAAAGTTAGCATCTGGATTTATTGCAAGCTCTGGTACCAGTTTCTTTTTTTCCTTTTATTTTTAAAAAATGTAATGTTCAAATTAGATGCTCTTAAAGGTGCCACTGGACTCAAACCTCTCTCAGCTTTCTCACTGTCTTAATACACAGTCCATATATTACATCAATGGAGGGGGAAGAGAGGAGATTTTGCTTTGCGATGCACAGAAGCAAATGCTTTCACTACATTTCCTAAACAGCAAGATTTGAGTCCAGCAGCCCCTTAAAAACCAACATGATCTCCAAGGTGTAAGCTTTTGAGAGTCAAAGCTCAAGTAGGAATGGCGATCCCTGAGCCATTATACCTCCATTCCTACTTGCATCTGATGAAGGGAGCTTTGACTCTTATACCCTAGAAGTCTTATAGATCTTCAAGGGGCTACTGGACTCAAATCTTGTTCTTCCACTGAAGACCAACATGGCTACCTACCTAGAACTATGTATCCTGAAGTTTTCTGGCCATTAACAATCCCAGAGAAATTATTCTGCCGCAATAGCTAATGATATACTAGGATGACAAATGAAAAGATGGACCATTCTGTCTAATCTAGGAAGCAGAAAAAGTGATAATGCCTTTCCATTTTGATCACTGATTTAAAAAAAAACCTGATTACTTATAACCATATTCCCCAAATTTGTCTGACAGAGGTCGTGATCACACACAGAATTAGCCACGCCATAGGCACGAATGCCGGGCGGATTTTAAGGGTGCGATCACACGAGAACATCTTCCAAGTGTCCTGCACCCATCAGCAACCTGTTTTGCTCCACTGCAGAAGCAGGGTAAAAGACACTAGGGAAAGTTCGGTAGCAAACAGGTTGCTACGGGCCAGGAATGGACTTTCCCTGTGTGATCACTCCAGTGCGCTCCCATGGCGTCATGATGGTCTGATCAGGCCATCCCGACTCCATGCAGTTGTTTCCCCCCCCATTTCGGTATGTGCATCATTGTACACTGCATAGGGAGCATTCAGTGCGGAGATGCAAATCATTGATCCCTTGTTGAAGAGCACTGAAAACATGCGGCAAAAATCCCACCCGATTCACCCACGGTTGCGTCTGATCACACAGTGGCGGGCTGCCTCCCTAAGGACTGTGTGATCGCACAACTGCGGGTCAAATTCCTCCGGAGGGAATAGCCTCGCTTCCCCCCCGGTTTATCTTGCATGTGTGACCGCAACCAGAGATGTGAAAAACCCAATGCTAAAATGCCTATGACAATACACCCTTTTTTGTTCTGTCAACAGCTTTTAACGTTTTGTCTTTAATATGTTGTAATTCTCAATTAAATCAAATTTATATTACACCAAAGACTTCAAAGTATAAGATATGTGTCTATTTTTTATATTACAAATTGCTTGCTCCTAGAAGTTAGTCAAGTAATCTATTATTCACCCTTTAATAAAAAGTTGTGACTTTCCACAGGGATACTGAAAGACTGAGAGGGCCTGTGCATTAATTGCCCAAGAAACAGAATTTATTTTGTGTGGTCCTTCATGTGAACGAGAAGCCTATCCTTGCAAATGTGTGTTATGCTATGAAAATTCCCTGGAGAATTCCCTCACAGCTCTCTTACATACTTTAAACTGTCTTATGAACTCTTACTTCAAATCTACTGGAAAGTTCCTACTGGAATATCTGTATGCAGCTGGGCCTAAAATTAGTATCACACACTTTTTATTAAAAGGGCTAGTGACAAAGAAAGAAATTGCCTCATTTAATCTGGGAAGGGCTGAGGTGCACATGGTTTGTTTTTCGTCTTCATATCTGGCTGTCGTCCAGAAGGGCTGAATGAACAGCTTAGTGCAGGAACAAACTGTACCCTGCAGAATGGTCACATGCTCTAACCTGCGATGGATATACAATCAAAGAAATGGAGGGGGAAAATATACAAGTCAGCTACATATGTCAAATCTTGTTGCTTTACTTTAAATAGATACTTTAAATAGTATGGCTGCAGCCAGACTTCCCTCCCCCGTATCTCAGGATTCTCTAGGAACCCCCCTCCACATAACTTTTTATTATATTTTTATTGATATCTGTATCAGCTTTAAATTTCTGTCTAACAATTAAGACTGTTAACCAAAAGTGTTTGAAAATCATAAGAAACTAGTGCTGATTTGATTTCTCCACAAGTATGCATAGGATACAGCTCTTTAAAAAAGTAAAAAACTAAGTGCAACCATGATTCCTGGGTTAGGACGGGAAACCTAGATCTGTTGCATCTATCATAATTTGTTACACTGGTTTTCTGGATTGGTAATATAACATTACATAGCCCTCTATGAATATCTGTCTGACCAGGAAGATCTAGTTTATTTAATGCTACAGCATTAGAAATGATATATAGAACTGAGATATTACACAGAAGTCAGGTCTTTGAGTGATCAAATATTCCACGAGACAGATCTAGCGAAGGGCTGGAGAAGGCCTTGTGCTGATAACTTGAGATGGCAGTCTAAACCAAAAGATGGCAGCAAGTACAGATTGTAATTCATAAGTATATAAATACCAGTTAACCAAGATGGCAGCAAGTACAGATTGTAATTAATAAGTATACAAATACCAGTTAACCATACAAATAGCCAGTAACCATAGTGGTCACTTCCACACATTCTGCCCCCCCAGTGTCCTCAGGTCTTGCCACATTTTCTTATGTAAGGATGTGTTCAGACGGCTCTTTAGATCCACATGAGGCACGGGTGCCTCATGGATTTAAATGTAATGTCCAGACATCAACATCTGGGAAACGTCCGTCTTCCGTGAGCATCCTGTTTTGCCGCACCTCGGAGCCGTACTAAAAAGATACTACTTTAAACCTGGAGCTTTCGGTTCCAACGGGCCACTCGCGGACTTTCCCCCATCTGATCATTCCAGCGCTCAATTAAAAATGTCGTCAGACCATCCCGAACGGGCGCCATTTTAAAAAAATCTTGATTCTGCGCATGCGTGGATAAACAAGGCCGTGATATCATGCCTATGTGCATGCGC